CTAGTCTTTTTGGCAAACGATATCGCATTTCTTATCGATAATGATTATCGCATAACCCTTGCACCCCCAAGGTTGGCGATAGGAATTTTGCCCAATGAAAAAAGTCTTCCCTTCCTTGGTTACTCCATAACCAATGAGAAGCATACAGTGTAAACGAGTGTCTTTTGTGATGGGATGTTTCTTTGGCAAGTGATAAACCCCCTCCTGAAAAAATAGAAAGATTTCATTACTTTTATTTATTCCAATGTTCATGTATATATAATCTCTGTACTATTTCACTATAAACTCATAACTTAACAAATCTATATCTGTTGCAATCTTTACTAACCTGTCCAAGCTTTAGAAACTTAACATCCACCTGCACTATCAAAGCAACTGGATATCTATTCAGTCTTGCTCGGATAAAGTCAGCGTTCACATTTTCATAAAGATGTAAAGTTTCTTGAACTCTCATCCCCTGAGCATTGGCCTAGTAAACAATTCGATTAAATTATAACAAAATTAGCAGATAAAATAAGTCATTCACATCATAAACACATAATTTTTTTTTTTACCTTTTGAGATTTGTTTGATGTTGTTGGCTCCTTCAAGATTCCTTTATCAGCAATGTGATCAAAAGCAATTTTCAGATTGGCAAGTTCAAAGTTTTCTGATTCACCAGGCTTGATATGATCTATCAATTCAGCTATAGAAAACTGCACATGTTGGTTGACAGGACGTCCAATATTATAAAGAGCTTGTACAAGTCGGGCAAAGCAAATTGCCCAACAAATATCTGCATTAGATAAAATCCTTGTTCAATAAATCGGATATGTGAAAAAAACTCACTTTTTTGTGAAATTTAAGTTGAAATCGATTATATATGGCTGGATTTGTAAATTTCGGGTATAAATATACTGCAAACCTAACAAAAATTGAGAAAAAACAAACATGTTCACGTTTTAGGGTTATGACTGCGTGCAGCCCAAAGGAAGAAGAAGAAGCTAAAATACCTATTTTACCCTCTATTAAAGTGAAATGGTAAAAATTTTAAAACTTAGCTACAGAGGAGGTCGAACCCGTGACATGTTACTAGTTATCTTCAATTTATACCACAGCACCAACAGATAAATCTACGATATGCCTTAACGATATTAAATATATAAACCAATACATCTGACCTCTTTTATTTTGGTCAATTATGTCACTAATTATCTCCCCATCCTCAACACTCCAATCTTTTACAATAGTTTCAATAATGCCTAACAACATGAACATCTGCAACAAAATCAAACCAAGATACTTAAGAATAACATGTCATGACTTTAGAAATCATAAGAAATATTACTGTTCATCTTAAAGGGTAAAACTTGAATATATATATATATATATATATATATATATATATAAAATTAACCATTATACCTCTTGGAAAGTCAGTTCATTGTCGCTTGAGCCGATGACTCCGCTTCAGCTCTTTTCTTCGATTCAACATTTGCTTTGGCTTGCACCTTTTGGTTTTTTTCTCTTCGGTTTCCCTCCAATAGGAGCCCTTCCTGGATTCTTGTTCTATATATATTAGAAGGAAAAGCATAGATCAGTTTCAAACAAACAACCATAGCATTTTCTACATTTAAAACTATCCTTCTTATTGAGAAATTAATCATGATACCAACATTTTCTATATTTAAGATATGCATTTTCAATTAACCCAATCAAAGAGCAAGTTTTCTCAAGTATAATCTGAATTCAAGCAGTAAAAGTAGTACCGGATCCCATTCCATAGCTCCTCCTCTTCTATAGCAAAAGGAGTCAGATCAATCAATAAGAAAGTGTGACCTGCAAAATAAGTCAAACAAAAGAAAGGATCATTGGTCAAGATCGAGAAAAGAAAGTTTACACTTTTTTACATAAATAACCCAAAAACAACTGATGGAGAATGAATATATACTTCAGTTAAAAGAAACAAACCAAAATCTTGCTATTTCCCTTCGAAAAATCTATTCTTTGACATCCTAAATACCCTTAATTAATATTGGTATGCTCGGTTATCGTCTTCTCTTCATTCAAGTGACGCAATTGCTTTACCGGTACAAAAACTTTCCCAACGACTTGGTCAGACCCGAAAAATCTCTTACACTTGATTTGAAACACAAACACTGAGTCATTCCTTCGAAATTTGTCATCTTCTATATAGAATTTCATACGGTAATTCCACCGTAAGAGTTTCTTACCGCATGCAGCAGCTGGAGTGACTTGCTTGTCACGTGAACCACGTGTGACCGAGACGGAAACATAGACTGTTGGTCTGAACAAAAGATTGACGGAGTCGAGATCTTGAGCTGAGAGAACGTTAATCTCCACCGGTTGATAATACTCCATTAAGGAGTGTGGAGAATCAGAAGAAGAAGAAGAGAAAAGAGATGAGTAACTTAGAAAGAAAGAGGAGATTTCGGGATTATAAAGGTTGTTTGATTAAGGGTCCTAGTATAACTACGAATCTTTTATATATATCGTTTTATGGATTTTTGCATCCAAATCCAGAACCTTTTGGTATATTATTTTGTTGGGTCAAAATCATTGGTATTATTTTAATATATATATACCTTTGACAAATAAGGACTTTCCAGGAGTACGATTCTTCAAAAGTTGTGTCGTCTTCTTAGAAAATACCAAATTGGCTTAAAGAGAAACTTAGGGTTTGTTGGGTAATCGACATGGCTCCAAAAACAAGCGACGGGGAGGTGAATGATGGATCTTCGAGGGACCCAGAAGTGACGGAGCCCATGGAAACTTCCACAGGCGTTGTGTTGTCGTTACTGGGGAAGCGCAAGGCCGAAACTAACGAATCCGGTGAAAGCGAGCAAACAGCTGACGATGAAAGTGTCGAAGACAAATTAGACGAGGAAAGCGACGGAGAAGAAAACGAATTAGACGAGGAAGGTGAGGAAGAAGAATTAGACGAGGAAGAAGAATTAGATGAGGAAGGTGACGGAGAGAGTTACAAGAATAAGAATAAGGAGCCCGAATGGGGTTATGATAGCTTTGAGGGCCGGGAAGATGATTCCGCTAATCTGAGGGAGTATTCAGACAAGGAGTTTGAGGAGCAGTGCCGTCACTATAAACGCAAGCTCATCGAAACCAAGGTATCATCATCCTTAATCCTTTTTTCTAGTCTTATGAGGATATCATGTTAAATCACATCTGGTTTTGTTGGTTTAGGGTTTCTTTGAGACATCAGACAAATTCCCTCCTTACGTTTATTCTGGAGTTGCTTCGCTCGGAGATCTGGACCAGCCAGCTATGTTAGGCCTTACCATCCGTGAGGTCTGCGAAAAGTTGACATCTCTATGTCTCCAACGATACAACCGTGATGAGGCAAGTTGTTCCCTCTTTTTTTTGTTGTACTAGTTTTCTGGCTATTCAGATTCCTAGTTCTTCTATAGATATCTAATATAGAGTTATCGTTTTGTCTCTTGTTTATAGGAAAAGAATGTGAAAATGGAACATATCTTGAGGGCAAATTACAACCCAGGGTCGATGACTAAGTTTTACATTACGTTTGCTGCAAGAGAGTTCGAGTCTCCAGATGCACCTTTAGTGGAGTATCAAGCTAAAGCGGTATGGTCTGTAACCCACAAAATTTATCCCATCCTTTGCAGGCCAAGTCCCGCACCTACAAGGGTATGTTTTTCTCTTCTCCAGTTTACGTTGAATGTGTGTGGCTTCCTAGGTTTTGTTTGTTTTCCTGAATTCTAATGGATTAGTAAAGAGAAACCCATCTGTTGATCATAGATATATATCTTTTGAATAGATCAATATATTGGCTGCTGAGATATCTTTTGGTTTTCACTTGTTTGATCCGCAATTATTAATTTGCTGTTTTTTGGTTGAAGGCCATGGACGAGATCATTTGAAAGAGGTAGCCAAGGTGATGGAAGAGTCTGGAAGAGATCAGTTGAAGAGCTTCACTGGGAAACTTGTTTATCCGGTTGTAATGTTATTAGTAGACTTAGGTTATTGGGAACTTTAATTTGCACTGTATTCTATGTTGAAGACTAGTGTGTATCAAGAACCCGTACTCGACAATGCAGTGTTGAATGCGAATGGTTTGTGAATCCTGAATTTTGCAATCTTGTTCTGTTGTCCAGCCAGTTTGTTTTTGCCTAGGTATATCTGTTTATCACTCGGGGGAAAAAGAGTTAAAACTAACTAAGGTTTAGAAAAGAGATACCATCTTTTTTTTTTTAAGTTATGCATTCTCGATGTGTTTTGAAATGGTGTGATTTATATTTTATAGCCTTTGTTTTCAGCTTTAAATAGCTTTTGGTAAAGAGAAAGTGGCAATCTGCACACAGAGATCCGTAAGTGTTAGAAAGAAAACACTAAACTATGTATGACATTGTATTTTATCGTACATGAAAAAGAGAAAAAAGATAATATAAGACTTTGAACAATAAATATTTCTTGTTAAGAAAAAATTAAAATGAAATTGTGAACAATAGTTTTGATGAACAAGAAAGGCAGAGGAAAACAATTTATGAAGAAGGAAAATGAAACGTAAGAAATTAAAAAGTACATCTACTCTTTGAGGCAGATGATGTCACATAATTCATTGATGATGATTCTTACGTAGCCTCTGCATCCCCAATCTGTGCCCCACGAATTTTGACCGATGAAATAAAGCTCCCCTTGTGTGGTCATTCCATATCCTATTAGCAGTATACAGTGGATGCTATCGGTGGGAGAAATAGCCACTTTTTTTGGTAAATGGTAGACTTCCTGTAAAAAAATGATTTAAAATATATTTAGTTGTTACGTTGACTGATTAATCATATTAAAATGATCCAAACTTATATATATATAAAGCCCAAAAGATTGACGTATATAGTATATTTTCTTAAATATTTACGTATATACAGTATGTTGATCCAATAAAATTTTATTAACCTCCCCAATATATCCAAACTTTAAAGTCGGCATCAGATTTAGTCCAACAGGACATTTGTCTAACTCTCCTCTGATAGATGATGCATCAACGTCTTCACAAAGGTCAAAGGTTTTTTTTATCCTTAGTCCTTTTGAGCTTGCCTAATTAATTATAAACACACACATGTATTAAATTTAAAAACCTAGGAAAATAAAGAAGCTTCCACGTAAATTTACACAAATATTAATTCAAATCAAATACATAATTGCTTACCTTTCATCACCTATTTTAATTGGCTTCTTCATTATCCCATGGCTAGCTATGTGATCAATTGCAATTTTCAAATTGGCTAGAGCAGAACTTTCATTTTCTCTAGGCTTGATATGATCCACAAGTTCAAGAAATGAAAATTCATGCTGTTGAGGGGTTGGGAGTCCTTGATTATACGTAGCTTGCATAAGTCGGGCAAAAACAATTGCCCAACAATAATCTGCACATACTCAAACTAGTTAGCTTGTTTTTTTTTATTCCCACCGTTTGACTATATATAATTCATTATTCTAATTTGAAAAATCGAATAAATGTTAATTACCTTCCAGTTGATCAAGAACCTCACCAATAATCCCTAAAACCACACTCCAATCTCTTATTATCGTATGAGGACCAAATATCTGCAACGACAATTTTGGTATCAAATATAGTATCCCCAATTTATATACGACTAAACCAAAAGGAGATAAGAAAAGTAAAGTTATCATAACTAGTTGATATCAATATACCTCTCGAAAAATACTCTCATTGCTTGGTTGAATTGGTAGAGGAGGCTCATTCTTTTGTTTTGCTTGAGCGTGTTTCTTGGCTTGTGCTTGTGCATTTTGGCGTTTTGATTTAGCTCCAATGCCACCTCGTCCTTGATCCATCTTGTTCTATTAGACAGAAAATATATATGTTGGTTACGTACTCAAAAAGCAACATTTCTACAATCATGTAATACGACGTATACTCTCGATTCAAAATCCCAAATATTTACTCGGATAGAAAAACTAGAACATGCAGATTGAACTAACTAAAATTGTTTAACTTCGTTAATCATTGGTAACCTAATAAATGATTGATCTGAGAGAAGCGCTAAATGACTTCAATGGGGTCGATCGGGTTTTGGGATTCCGGTTCGGTAGAGCCGTTGGATGTCAATTATGGGGTTTTGGTACTCTCCTAGCTAGGAGTCACTACGGATCATCAAGATTTAGGGTTTTAGGGTTTTGGTGATCTTCTTTGACATTTTCAAGGTGTTTCTTGAATTCACAACTGGTTTTAGTCCTAGAATACAAAAGAAATGTTGCAGACAATTAGAAATCATTACCAAATAAGATTCCATGGCGTTTTTAATTAGATATCAACTCCGATCAACCTCGCAAGTGACCTGCAAAAGGAAGAATCCAACAAAAAGGGCATGAAGACGGATTCTGATTACAAATAAAACTTGGATTCTGCTTCGAGAAACGAATATACGAGCTTTTGCTAAGAAAACAGAGACGAATCTTGATTATTCCCTAATACGTCGGAATCAGAGAAGGGTGTAAATGAAGAAGGCGAATAGAGAGTTTTGCTTAAAAGAGAAAGAAAGTTCACAACTTTTTTGTTGGAACCAAATTGAACTCATGACTTGTTTGCTATGAAGAAAGACGATCTTGCACAAAAATGCAAGCTTTTAACCCAAAGATTCTATGAAGATGAAGAAGAAAGGATCGTAATCATGTTTAAAAACAAAACAAAGATATAAAGCTATGAACTTTTTCTTAACCTTGAAACTTTCTGGATTTTTTTACTGTGATATCGGAGAAGAAATTAGGTCTGCATGCAATTTGAGAGGAGAAGACAGGTCTCGTCTCTGCAGTTTGAGAGGGGGTTTAATTAAACAGGCTACAACAAAATGCACCCTTATAATTTGTGTAAGTCCCTGTTATATTGAGTAGCTTGTTTTTGCTTGTTTGGGATATTTGTCTTCATTTTGATTTTATATCTTTTTTTTTTCTTGACGCATAGAAACTAATTATATATTCAAAAGTGAAACAGAAACGAAAAAAACATAGACGAAAAAGATTCCATATGTGTATGAGGTCGCCTTCTGCATTTATAATTTGTAAATTAATATTAATTTTAAATAGTTATATAAACCTTCAAAACATCATAAAAAATAGGAGTATAGTTGTCTTTCACTGCTAGCCATTTAATATTTGAATACAAGCAATCCTTAAATAACACAATAATGGTCAACAATGCCAAAATCTTTTTGACTATACAAAACAAAACAGAAACGGAATTTTCAGTGTTATTTTTCAATTTTTTTTTTTCGCTAAGAGTGTTAATATTTCATTTAAAATGAAAAAGGTTTAAGCTTACAATCGAACGATCGTAGACTTATTGATCGTAGACTTAAACAATCGTAAAATAAAATGAAAAAGGTTATTTTTCAATTTGTAAATTGATGGAATCTTGATAAACCTTCTAAAAATGTTAGGAGGTTTCAATTCAAATCGTCAAAGTCAAACCATCCCACTCGGTTTCTTGCTCTAGGTATAAACAAGAATTATGCTTTAAATCATTTATTGAGATTTGTTTGTTTTTGTTTTCTATGGATGGGTTGTATCTAAGTCCGAGAAAGTACTTTGAGTTTTCCGGATCGGGTTGATTGTCTTATATATATATGTGATTTTTAGTTCTTGTTCTGCTTATGGATTGCATTATTGCTCGTAAGTCTGGTCCATGCATGGTTTAATTACTTACTTTCCTAAAGCAGTCCAGTGTTTTCTAAATACTCATTCGGTTACTAATTAGTCCCATTTTAAAAGTTTTTATATATATATATACATATACATATATATATATACATATACATATATATATATGTATTCAAAAACATATTAAAAGTTTACTATAAATCTCTTACATTTTGTGATCAACAATTTTTTATAGCTTTAAAGTTTAAACCATAGTATTTTTTGACTAGTTAATTAGGAATAGAAAGAGTATACATTAATTGACCTTATTTGTTTGGAGGTTAATTTAATTTAGGAGCAAAAAGTGACTGTGTATGTGTATCAAGTTATCAATACATATTTTATGTTTTGAATATTTATTATAGAACTGATACTGTAATACATTATATAGTTTCACTGATAATTGAAACCTACAAACTGTAGTCGATTAAATTCAACCATACTAAAACACATATGATTCACTATTGACTGATTGACACCATACGCGAAGGGTAACGAGAATCTATCTTTTCAGGCTAAATTTTATTTTATATTTAACTTTTAACTTGAGTTGATTAGGATGAAATGTATATAACAAAAACAAGATATGAAAATATTCGAAATAATCGAATTAATCAATTTCTACGCATAGATATCGTCTTCACAAGGAGCTGATGGCTCATGTCTAATATTTCCCCAAACTCCTAATCTACAACCCTCATGAACCCTAGCAATATCCGAATTACAACCTCTGACTTGTCCCCTAAAAATACATCCAAATCTAAACCCTAAACATATACTACCCTTTGGTTTTCCGGCCTCGGTTATGACCTGATAATTTATATTGGTATCCTCGGTTATCGTCTTCTCTTCATTCAAGTGACGCAATTGCTTTACCGGTACGAAAAGTTTCCCAACGACTTGGTCGGACCCGAAAAATCTCTTACACTTGATTTGAAACACAAGCACTGACTCATTCCTTCGAACCTTGTCATCTTCTATATAGAATTTCATACGGTAATTCCACCGTAAGAGTTTCTTACCGCATGCAGCAGCTGGAGTGACTTGCTTGTCACGTGAACCACGTGTGACCGAGACGGAAACATAGACTGTTGGTCTGAACAAAAGATTGACGGAGTCGAGATCTTGAGCTGAGAGAACGTTAATCTCCACCGGTTGATAATACTCCATTAAGGAGTGTGGAGAATCAGAAGAAGAGAAAAGAGATGAGTAACTTAGAAAGAAAGAGGAGATTTCGGGATTATAAAGGTTGTTTGATTAAGGGTCCTAGTATAACTACGAATCTTTTATATATATCGTTTTATGGATTTTTGCATCCAAATCCAGAACCTTTTGGTATATTATTTTGTTGGGTCAAAATCATTGGTATTATTTATTGATTAAATTATACATAGTATTTTTTTTAAAAAAAAAATATTAAGGAGTCTCAAAGGATAATAAAAGTTAAAACATTAGTTTAGATATCAATCTGAAATATCTTGTAGAGGCTGATAAGTCTCAAACACCGTCCCGTAATCGAAATTAAAATGATTTTAAAACAATACAAATCTAACCGAGCTTTTTTTTTTATATAAGTGCTTTTGCCAAGCCAAACTGAAACAAAACTGAAAATGAGCTGATATATAGTACAATCACGCTGAATCAAAACTAAAAGAAATTATTGTCTTAAAAAAATTCTCCTTAAAGAACTTTAACGATTATTAGTATGATCTTGACTGAAAAATCCTCAACAAAATCAAAAACTGGCTATCTTGTTGGAAAAATATAACTTGTACAAAAGAAAATATATTTGCCAGGATCAGATAATATCTGATTTTAAATAAAAATAAGATATTGTTATGCTCTAAAATGTTAGATCTACTTTATGCAGATTTCATGGCTTATTAAATTAGATTCAAACGCAGAATAAAAACGCGTCTCGTTTCAATTATCTTTTGCTTCTTTTTTTTTTCGCAGTTTGAATTTGGTTTTGAAATAGGAAAACCAATAAAGCTATAAACACATTCTGGTTTAGATTCGGTTCCTTCTCTAGAGTGTATATAACCATACTAATATAATACTAGTAGTTAATATACCTAAGGACATACTTCTGTTTTTTTTTTATAATGTACTCTTTCATAAGAAATGATAAGGGACGTAACCCAACAAACACGTGACGTTAGACACAACATCATTACACCTTGTTAACAGTTCCATCATCTGCAGGGAAATGTCCACGGTAAGCTGCGACGGGTTTATAGGTGGCTCGACGTGGTTCACTTGATTATTAACAGGCTTTGGTTCTGAGTCTTGTGAAGAGAGAGGAAGAATCGGAGGTAATGTTGAGGGAACCATGTTTTGAGTGTTCTCACTAACATATTCCATTGCAACAGATGATGATGAAGAAGAAGCGTAATTTCCAT